TTTTTAATCTTTTGTTTGTTCTTAAGTGGATGGATCAGGTTCTTCAGTCCTACTGTTTACATCCCAGTTGAGTCAGCCTGAGTCAGGAAGCCTACAGAGCAAGGCTGTGAATTGCCAGGGCTGGATCTATCGCTGGATCTGCAGGCAGTCTCCTTTAAATGCCAATCTGTAAGTGCTTTGGTTTGGCAGGTCCAATTCTCTGCCAAAAAGACCATGCTGCTGCGCTTCACAACCTCATTCACTGTCGTCGTGCTGACACCACCAATCGGCAGCCACAGACTGGTATTTCTCCTGATGATCAGTGCTGGTCTCCACGGGCAGGGATCGCCTGACTCCCTGCCATCCTGGCAGTGTGCTCTACAAGTGCAAAGGGCCAGAATAGCTCGTCTTCCCTGCTGTGTCTAAACAGATCCTCCCCCACAAGCAGCTACTCGGAGTAGCTGGTATTTTGCCCAAATCAAGACAGGTGACCTGTTCACTCTGCAGTCATTTGTACAAAAGGACCTGTGTAAGTCTTGCCAGAGTATCGATGCAAATTCAAAGACCTCCGCTAATTCTGTATTTGGACAATTCTTCCCCAGACCCTTTCCTTGTGCTGCTGAGCTTTTTTTTAAAAATGAAATGGTGAGTGCTGTTTTCTCTAAGGTCCCTCCTCTGGAGGTAATGCTAGGTTATGGTAGACCTGGAACACCAAGTGTTTCAGTTCTTTGGAATACATTTCTTTCTCAGATAGCTTTAATGGGAATAGTCAAAATAATATGAAGCATATTCACAGTTGCTGCTAATCACAGGAAGGAAATGTACTGACTACGACATAGCCTTGAGACAGAAATTGCATCTTTCTCTCTTTGCACGTACCATTTCTGGTAAATCCTCAGAAGCACCTCTGTTACAGCCCAACATCACAGGTGAGAGATTTACAGCACCGTATTTTTAAAGATAAATTAAAAGGGATGTTTAAAAGATTAAAAAACCTACCCTCCAACAAGACACAAGACTGGCAACATACAGGTGATTCACCGTATTTCTCAAGTCTTAGAAGTGTTTGCTCTAATGGGGAATTATGAGCGTGACTTTTGCGGCTGGTGAGCCCGGGGCAGTGGTTTTACTGATGAAGCTGGTCGTGGAAACAAACGCTGAGTCACGACACCGGGGAAGCAGCACCAACAGAGTGAGAGCTGTCAGTGAAGGGGATAATAGCACCATTTATACTTGTACAGAGACAGGAAACAAGAAAGGTGAGTGAAGAAGGTACTTCAAAAAATGTATTTTGGTACAGGTACATAATGAACATGGTACGAACCCACAGTGCATAAAGTACTAGAACTACTCCGACAATTTCTGCCTTAATTAGCTTTGTCTGACAGAAGACGTACGCTGCTTCCCTCTACCGACCTTCAGCGTCAACGTCAAGACAGAAAGTGCAGGTTAAAGCAGCATCAGTCTTACACAAGTACATGATTACAGATGGGAAATAACCCTCTGCAGAGTTAAACAGGATGAAAACCAACTGAATACTACAACATTTAAATCCTCCCTGGTTATCGCTTTTCGTTTCCCAGTACAGAATCTCATCTGATCTTCTTTTGGAGAGGCTGAAGGAGATAAAGAACAAGTACAAAATGACCAGCAAGAGGAAAAGAATACTGCCTTGTCCAGTCTATTCTATAATAGAGTTTGGGATATTGTAGGGGGGTACATTACATAGAGAGGAATGTGAAATAGTTACAGTGTCAATGATGCCATCGATGTAACGATTGCAATGGTAGATTCCTTTAGGAATCCAAATTCATATAGGTGAGAAGATCTGTCCTCCTCCAGGCACAGCTCAGGGCCAACGCAGACTTAAATAGCAAAGACCTACAGAAAACATCACAGTGGACTTTGCACCAAAGAAAAATAAATGCCTGAGTAATAAAAAAGGTACAAGACAGGGAAAAAACCTGATGCAGTGGTTTTATCTGTTTTCTGATGTTTTACTGTGTTTTCTGATGCTTCTGAACAACTGCTTTTTGTTTGGTTGTTTAATATGGCTCCTGATGAATTACAAACCATTCACATTCAGACTGGAACAATGAGGTTGTCACAGGCTGGGAGAAGATCCAAGTCAGATTTCAGTTCAGCACACGTTGTGTCACAGGTGTTCCACTCCTGTCCATAACAAACATCAGTCACTGTCTCTGGAGGGCCAGAGATGGTGGTTTTGTGCTGGGGTTTGTTGAGGTTTTTTTAATGACTGGTAACTGGTAATTTTGCCACCCCCTCCTCCTCCTCGTTATTACTATTGCTGGACACAACTTCTTCAGGGTTCAGACAAGAGGCAGCTCTGCAGCATGGCTGGTGCGTGTCTCACTGCTCTGTGGCTGGAGGCTCTTCCTCAGCCTCCTGCTTCTCTGGCTGAGGCTCTGGAGGGATGAGGTACTGTACCTCCTCGGTACTGATCGCCACTTTATCAGGTTGCAGCCATCGCTTTAGATGTTCTAGCGTGCTGAGGGAAAGCAAAGATACAAAGTGAAAGAAGAGCAACAAAACCTCAGAGAAATGTATAGAAAAAAAGTGTAGGAAAAAAAATCTTCCTTATATATTTTTCAACTGCCACAGATAAAGTCTGTCATGAGACCAATCCGTGTGCCAGAGGAGCAAGCAGAATCCTTCATTCTGCGAAGACATTCTGCCGTAGTTGGGCTTTTTCAACTACAGTTAGAAAAGTCTTATGCTCAGATTTTTCTCAATTTAAAAGAATCCTTAGCTGCTACAGCAACCTTTGCATTCTTGAAGTACTGGCCTGACTGTAGCCAAAGACCACAATTCCATTTCCAGCTTCCTGGGCTGGCATAAAACCAGTGTCAAAACAAAACATACCCCACAACTGCCTAAATGTGATGAAGATTAGGAAACACAGAGGAAGAAGGGAGGGGAAGTGGGTGCTGGTCTCTTCTCTCAGGTGATGGGGTATAGAACAAGGGGAAACGGCAGCAAGCTGTGCCAAGGGAGGTTCAGGTCAGAGCTAAGGAGGAAGTTCTTTACTGAGAGGGTCGTCAGAAGCTGGAACAGGCTGCCCAGGGAGGTGGTGGAGTCACCATCCCTGGATGTGTTTAAAGAGCGGGTAGACGAGGTACTTAAGGATATGGTTTAGGGGGTAGACAGGAACGGTTGGACGTGATGATCTCAGAGGGCTTTTCCAACCGAGCGATTCTGTGATTCTGTGAAAACCAAAACAGGAGGCACATAAAAAAATGTCTGACCATTACTAACACCAAAACATTAAAGAAGAAAAAGGCAGTATCCATACCTTCTAGAATGAGAACCATACTATGAATTCTATAAGTGTTTATAAATATATACTAGCGGAATGACTGTCTAACAGTCCATCTCACAATAACTGGTCCAACCAGAACAGATCCACTCCTGTCTTTGTTTCAATGGTGGCTATAACCCTAAAAGTTTAATATTATAATTCTTTAATGTATGCACATGTGTGTGCTCATTTTAAAGAAGTGTGATCCAAGTCATTCAATGCTGCCACAACAAAATCGCCTTGCTCTTGCTCTTTCACCAGAGCAGAATTTCACTTGCTAATGTCCGTGAAAATATCTGCGTGCTTAGAAGTTAAGGCTTGTTTAACTGCATTGGTGGGTGAGAATCAAATACTTTTGCACCATTTGGAGTGACCTCTAACTTCGTAGTCAAATTCTAGGGAGGGAAATTCTTTCACAGATAACATCCCCAGCTATTAAAAACAGAGTAGAAAGAACACAAACATCTACAAAAGCTCGTTTTTAAATGTAAATCACATTAAAGTTAACTGAGCAAAGAAAGAATCTAAAAACTCCTTATAAACATGGATTGTTTTTCATACTTAAACTCCCAAACTAGCTTAGGTAGATTTTCTTCAAGGGAGAAAAATAATCTTCTTTTCAGCTAGAAGCAATCATGAGAAATGTCAGCTCAGAAAGGAGAAATATGGAGTGTGTTGTATGTGACTGGAAATGTGAGATTGCTAAAGGACTTTCATCTTAATTCATGCATTATCTGTAAAAGGGCAATGGGTGAGAGAGCAGCAGCATCCTAAGAGATGCACGGGCGGGAGAGCCACTCAGGAAACCTAAACTCAGGGCTGGTACCAGCCCTGCAAAGAACTCCACATCCCACTTGTGTCTGAAGCAGCGCTTAACTGGGGTTCACAGTTAAAGATAAACCTTAAAAAAAGCAATCTGAGACACAGTAGATGTCCCCTCCTCCACTCCACTTCTTTCCTACCCCAAAAGTGACAAGGGAAATCACAGAATCACAGAACCACAGAGTGTTAGGAGTTGGAAGTGGCCTCGAAAGATCATCCAGTCCAACCCCTGCCAGAGCAGGATCACCAGACCAGGTTACACAGGAAGGCGTCCAGGCGGGTTTTGAATGTCTGCAGAGAAGGAGACTCCACAACCTCTCTGGGCAGCCTGTTCAGTGTTCTGTCACCCTCACAGTGAAAAAGTTTCTTCTTATGCTCACAATTACAGAGGAAGTTTTGGTTGTTGCTGCACTGGATCGCCCCAGCCTGAGGGATGCTTTGTTGGTGCATGCTCTGTGTGTTCCCCTCTCAGACGATGCAAATGGGCATTTTCAAACTGTTTCAGAAAGTCTGTGACAGCCTTACCAAATCACAACGAGATGTTATTTTTGTCATAATGCCCTGCCCTAAGTCCTGACAAAACCTTATTTTAGTTTTTAAGAAATAAAGTCTGTTTGCCAACAGGGTAAGCGGTAAACCCTTCTCATCAATTGGCTTATATATATATACCTTTCATCAGAGTCGTGTCCTTCTACATAAAATTCAGACTCAAACTTCTCCTGCAGGAACCTGTCCCAGCATTCCTTCTTAGCCTGGGAGAGGGTGCGCAGCATATCCTTGGAGGTCACCTCTTGAGACAAGCCTTTAATTCTCATCAGCCTTCTCTCTGCAAAGAGGCAAAGAAGGGGTCTTTATTACCTTTTATGATGTTTTTTCTGAAAAGGAAGAAAAGAAGCATTGGGACTTCTATATAAAAAAGGTTAAATCAACTTTTCAACACTAAGTCATATCACAGAATCTCAGGAGTTGGAAGGG